GGACTTGGCTTCATCTTATGTGCTGCACCCCCGCAAATATCCGTTGAGTGTCCTTAAATTTCGGACGGGCAAAGACTAATCCTACTGAGTTCCTTTCAGTGTAATACTGATCGGGACCGAAGGTTAAGTCGAGTGTCGGGCCAAGGGGTCAGGGACTGAGAGTGAGTGAGCGCATGTGAAGGTGGAAGACGGAATTCTTAGTATGAGACTTCTGGAGGCGTAAGACGGTATTCTGAGTCGATATTCTGATTGCCTAGTAACTACAACTACAGCAGGTTCATATACAGGTAACAGGCATCTAGAAAATACTAACTGCGAGAAGAGCGGAACACGGTATTGACAACATGTCCCGATATACATCTGCACCATATTCCTACAGGTTATAGGCCCGCAGACTTATGTATCTCTCATATTCATCACCATGCATTTTCATTCCTTCCAGTAGTTACTCATCATATTCTTTTTAGGTGGCCATATAGAAGGGCTTAGAAGCCACAATACTTGCATGGGAATGACTCTAGGGCAGTATATTGAAGGTGACCATATAAAAGGACTTAGGAGTCACAGTACATGCACAGAAAGGATTCTGGGGCAGTACATCTAACTTGGCACTGCACACCTTATCTTCATTTTTCTCACTAATCTATATCGGCATTGCACACTTATTCAAAAATGGGGAATGAGAATTACTTTCAAAAACTAGGGGAAGAAAATTATGGTACATGGTGTGTGTATATGAAAGTACTTCTCGTCCACAAGGATGTCTGGGATCTTATAGATGGTTTGCTGCCGAAGGTAAGCAATGTACTGGTTACTGTAAAATCTCCAGAAATCCAAAGAATAATAATGATAGGAATGAGATAGAATTGTAGCTACAAAGACATGTATTGTTATGGAATTCAGTAAGGACGGCTATCGCTATCGTGGCTCTTGTTGAGGATGTGTAACATTCTGCCGCCCAGCAAAGTATTCCCGCGGAGCATTGTGACCCCCCTGAGAATGCACATCAAATCCACAAATCGTGGAGTTGTTCTTAAACCCCGGAACCCATTTTCCGCAGAAGTTTCAGACCCATTTTCCGCTCCCAAACATCGGCCTCCCCACCCATCATGAGAGATAACACATGTGATCGTCCAATCAGCCTTCCTTTCAGACTATGACCTAAATATGCAAGTTTGGTACTTAATGGCTAGTTCCATAATTCTCAAAAATATTTCATACACTTGGAAAAAGAAATATATGTAGGAAGGAGTCCGTGATTTATTGGGATAAAAATATTGCCTCAGGCGGGAATCGAACCCGCAACCTTAAGGCTCTTACCCGGTCAGAGGGACTGTAAGAGTCTGACGCTCTACCAACTGAGCTACCAAGGCATGGGTTATTATACCCACATTGTAATATATATTAAACCGTGACACCCCGTTGTTACGTTCTGCCTTTGAATCTGCTATCTGTCCCCCCCATTCTAGACTTATTTGTCGGACTACACCTTACTGTTGTTGTTGTAGTATTTACAGTGACAAAATGATACGGTCATCAGGCTAAGTCAATATATCGTGGGATGCAAAGTTTGAACTTAATAGCTAGTTCCATTATTCTTAAAACTATGTCATGCGCTTGGAAAAAGATATTTATGTAGGAAGGAGTCCGTGATTTAACGGGATAAAAATATTGCCTCAGACGGGAATTAAACCCGCAACCTTAAGACTCTTACCCGGTCAAAGGGACTGTAAGAGTCTGACGCTCTACGAATTGAGCTACCAAGGCGTGAGTACTACCATCCACATCCTGACCCATACTTAACCATGACACCACCGTTGTCACGTTCTGCGTTTGAACCAGCTATTTTCTTTGCCAGTCGAGACTTATTTGTCATACTACACCTCAATTCCGTTGGCCGTGCTTGGCCACCGTCCCGACAGTTTTCCATGTTCTGCACATCTCACAAGTGTATCTGAGTCCTTCCTATGTCTGACCCCCACTCCTTTAACTGGAACAGTACTCCTATCCAACTCATATTGCATCTCGGTGTTGGAAAAATATGGATGGGTTGGAAACCCCATGGACGAATACGCCACCTAGCAAGTAAGTAAAGTCGCCCTGCAAACCGCGGTCGTGGTCTAGTGCACGTGCTGAACAAAATTGGCGGGTATGTATGTCTCTGCGCTCAGATTCAATTGGGACATGATAGCGGGATACGAAGGCACTGTTTACACACCTCTAACGCAGAGCAAAGAGGAAACTACCGCTGTGGGGACCCTCCATCTCCTTGACAATGACGCCAAGCACGGTCATCTGCAATCTACCCTCCAGTCGACCCCACATGATAGCCATTGTTCTGCCCGTGTCCAACTATCCGCCCATTCCGACTCTTCATCGCCACGTCTGACCCCCTCACCCTCTCCTCGGGCTAACCCAAGCCCTCTTCTGTATGACGCGTCTATTTCTAGCACGGGTGCATCAGGCAAGGGTCCCGGAACATATTCAGGTACATGACGTTTTCTTTACATTGACCATGACTTTGTGATTGAACTTGATGCAAACATGTAGCGAGAGGCTCCTCCATTATCTCACCGCAACTATTGACGGCTGTGAACACTCGATCGACCGCTGCGAGACGCGACTTCAGGCGGATGTCCGTGGCTCTGCCTACACTAGCGGCGGCCAGCTGGATGACTCGGATAGCGAGAGGAACATAACGTCTATGGTAGTGAGAGTGGAGGAAAGGCCAGTTTGGTAGGTGACGGACGGGGACGTATCCAATTCGAAGAAACGGGTGGAATATCATCGTCATTAATGGAGTCCTCACTTCCTACAAGCCGCACATCATCCTTCATCACCGATCCCCGCTCTACACCGTTCTTTAAAAACCTGCACGCATCATCCAGCTTCTCGAAGGACCACCCGATACCCATCTCGCAAGCGACGAGCGTGGCAATGGGGAACACGACGACGAAGACGAACACGGAGATAGTAATGCCCATTCGGGCTCTTCGACGAGGAAATTGTCTCCGAAACCGGGGATGGGATCAGGCTTGGGCCTCTCAAACATGGGCCTGTCGCTGTTGGGGAGCGGACGGTCATAAGCGTTAGGAGAAGAGTTACTGAACAAGACGTCATGTGGACAGACCTGGTGAGCGATGCGGTGAAAGAGACAGTAGCGGATTTTTCGGAGATGGTGAGTCTTTGGATGTGTCTTGAATTTGTGCGAGTCCTGATGATGCTTACATTGATTTTCTTAGGGGGATGTCCAAATGTTTGCCTTACTTGCTATTGCGGCACCTAGCGAACTGGGGGATTGGACCCATACGTGCAGCGACAGTTGTTGATGCATATGTTGGTGAGCTACTAGAGCCTACAATAATGTATCAAAATTCTTCGTAATCTTTCGCGCTATAAATGCTTTCCCGGCTTCAGCTTCACGAACCTGCTGCTGATGTGCCAAAATATGCACATTACGAGCTGGTTTGAGAAACAACGGCGTTACAATTGTCAGATCCTTTGGCCTTGAATCTTTGGGTTTTATACAAAGTTCGAGACCATGGCGGGAACTAACCGAGGAATATATCTTAATAAGTTACAAAGGTACAAACCCAGTGGACGGATATATATGGATTCTTACCTGGGTTGTATCTCGAACCAGCTCGTAAGGGCCATATCTCCGCACATGAGAGGAAGTGCGTGAAGCTGCTCACCAACATATGCATCAACAAATCTTGCTCCCGTATCGGTCCGGTCCCCAGTTCTTTAGATGCCACAATAGCAAGTAAGGCACACATTTGGACGTCCCTTTAAGAAAATCAACGTAAGCATCATCAGGGCTCGGAAACTTTCAAGAAACCTCCAAACACTCACCATCTCCGCGAAATCCCGCTACCGTCTCTTTCAAAGCATCCCAGACCACGTATGTTCCACATGACGTCTCCATCAGTAACTCTTCTCCTAATGTTTATGACCTTCCGCTCCCCAACAGCGACAGAGTCGGAGCCTGTCAAAGGACGAATCAGTGAGTCCAGCGTCGGATTGGAGGAGCAGCGGCCTGAAGTCTAGCAGAGATCAATTGAAGTGGACAGTCGAAGGCTGTCAGAGGACATGTAAGTATGTCCAGTGTCTTGTTTTATAATGAATTTAAGTGGGCAATCGAAGACTGTCAAGGGGCAAGTGTGTCCAACATGGGGTTGGAACAGCGACTATGTGCTACTCGTAGTAGTGATGTATATAAATGGACTGTTGAAGACTGAAGGGACGAAGAGGTGTGTCCAGGATCGGTTTTGAGCAGCAGCAGCTCAGAGCAATTAATTTCAGCGGGCGAGTACTCGATATGCATGGGATGAAAGGGCCTAGCCCGAGACAGAGTGATAGAACGTGCAAGTTAGATGAGACTGTTGGCGATTGGGATAGCGATAAACTAATAGAATTTAGATTACATGATGTGGAAACTTCTAATGAATTTGAAGATGCAATCGATGGCATGTGGATAGGACAGCATGCACACATGGAACGTTGGGATCTGGGATAAACGGTGTGGCGCGGAAGGGGATCGTGCACCAGAGATGAGAGTCTGCGTAGATGGCGTTTGCCATATCCTGCAGGATCCCCGTATGCATTCTCAGGGAGCTCGAGCCTGCCTGAATGGGGCAGCGTTCAGCAGGATGCGAGAAGATTGGCGGTGGGATGCGGGTGCGTGAGATAGCAATGGGAAAAATGAACTAACTCGAAGGCTTTGAAGAGTATCGAGGGCGAAGTGAGACGAGACGAGATGAAGGGAAAGGGCAGAGTGGGAAGTGACACATATGAGAACAGTGGGTAATGACAACAGGGAAACGCAAAGTGGCTTTGTCTGTCATGTGACGTACTTTCATCAGAGCTCCTGGACGAATAAATTCGTCCAAACTAAGTTCCATGCTTAAAAATATTTCATGCAACTGGAAAAATATATATATATGGTTCACTAGGAATTCTTGGTAGGAAGGATCCGTGATTTAACGGGATAAAAATATTGCCTCAGGCGAGAATCGAACCCGCGACCTTAACACTCTCACCCGGTCAGAGGGACTGTAAGAGTCTTACGCTCTACCAACTGAGCTACCAAGGCATGCTTTACTAAGTCCACATTGTAATATATGTTGAACTGTGACACCACCGTTGTGATGTTCTGCATTTGAATCTGCTATCTTTCCCCCCCAATTCCAGACTTATTTGTCACCTTACTGTTGTTGTAGTAGTATTTACCGTGACAAAAGCATAAAGTGATGAGGCAAGTCACTATATCTTGGGATGCGAACCTCGAACTTCTACATAGTTCTGGATATGCATGTTTGGTACTTCATGACTAGTTCCATAATGGTTAAAAATATTTCATGCACTTGGAAAAAGAGATATATGTAGGAAGGGAGTGTGGTAGGTGAAAGGGAGGTTTGGAGAGCCTTCGTATAGGGATCTTTCCAGTGTACGCATATAAAGATAATCCACCTTAGGTACTGTTCCGCCCTGATCTAGGATCACGTGTAAGATCTGTAACGTGTCATTGTGCATGGCCACTAGGTCAAGAATCCATTCGAATAACACTAGCCTTATACATCCTCTTCCAGCGACATCAATAGTAACAAGTTCCTCAGACCACTCGGGGAGTTGCTCTGCCAGCTAATCTATAGTACCGGTTTGGGAAAAGAAAGAATCGGTGATCACGATGCTATTCAACCTGCCTAACCAGACGGACACCTCTTTCAGCATGTTGGGGTATCTGTCTAAGTAGTCCACAGCTACTGCATCAACTTGCTTCTCTTCAATTTGTTCTGAGTAGTATTTGTCCCACTTGTCATTTGCTGGTTCAGCGAAATATACCTGACCCCTAAAGGGATTCTGCAGCATTACTTGAGGCAGTGGAAATTTTAGACTGGTGTCATTTCTGTTTTCTCGAGTGGTAAGGAGTCCAAGAGTTTCTGATGACTTAAAATAGGAGTTATCCTTGCTCATTCCAGTAGAATCACTCGCGGGAAGCCCATGTTCACCTTGTGAGGGCTCCAAGACAGTATCGGCCTCTTGAGTCATTAGAGATGACTTTCGTGTTGTGACATTACTGGGTAGCCCTAAGCCGGGATATTCCTTTCTAGTCCGAGGGGCACCTGCAGGCATAGGAATTCGAGTGGTTCCACTGCTGGTTAAGGTCATAATACTACTAGCTGATTATTCATGTGGATCGCAGTGAATGAGGGTCCGGCCCGGATCACCACTGTAAAGGGTCAGGTAGTTTACCACTCAATGTGTGATTGTTATCGACTAACAATAGTGCAAAGTACAATCGACTAGTAGTTACGGTGTGATCTGACTGTGTAGCTAGCTGGGCCGATGGCCAAGTAGATAAGAGAAAGTATATATTGCAAGAGAGAGAGAATATCCTAAGAAAGTGAGCTACGATGGATATTCTTACTGCATGAAGCAAGAACTTGAAGTCGAGTCGAATAATAGTAACTAACTTCGACTGTTACAGTGCGAAGTGTAGTTACTGCTGATCTGGGAAGAGAGATAGAATGAAGGTTTGTTTTAGACAAGACCCTGAACCAGTACTTGCGTGTGCAGGTGATGGTTGTCGGGGTTGAAAAGTGTCTGAGTTTCTTGCGTGTGACTACTACTGTGACATGCGCATACTTCTTGTGGGCTAGAGCGCCCACAAGCATACATGGACTCTTGAACTAATAAAAAGGGGTATGACCCGTATTTATGAGTGATAGAAAAGAAAATAAAAATATAAAACATAAAGGAAATAATGGAATTATAAAGCGGCTAAGGGGTAAGGCTTAGAGTCTTTAGTCGCGCCTCCTATGTGACCTATCCTTCACACTGGAGGTCCTATCAGAGAAGCAAGAAGTGATGGGTCAAAAGAAGTATGGGGAGGGGCAAGGATCAAACTAAAACTAAAACTGATGTAATCAAAGTATTCTAAAGGGTATGAGGTGGCAAAGGTGGCAAAATGTCAGGGTGATGGGAGAGCATTGACACAGAGATGGGATGGAATGACTAAATGGGAGGACTATAGTAAATCAAGTGTCAGGGCACTGCAAGTAGTGACACCATATTCAGGGATGCCAATAGTGGATGCCAGAGGGTTACAAGGGTGAAATGAGGTTGTGGGGGGCTGATTGATAGGGATCCTAACACAGTTGTGAAGGATAGACTGCAAACGGTGCAATAGTCTATAGGGGAATTGAGTATCATTTTTACTTAATATTTTTTCTATATTTTTCTATATATTATCCTTCACTTAAATGAGATATATCTTGTATTTAGTAATATGAAGGTCCATGTATGCTTGTGGGTGCGTGAGTGCCCACAAGCCCACAACCATGACCTATATGTAACCATAGTATAGTAGTCACACTGAAGCTTAAGACACTTTTTGACCCTGACAACCACCACCTGCCAACATCGGGCTTCTCACGTTCGCCTCGCACCACGTCGTGCAGTCGGCGTATCCCTAGCCCAACAAGCCACTCCCATTCGCACTTTAACCTGGCGATCCGCAAGGGCCAACGAAGCCCCAGTCCCCTGTCGAAAAGCATCGTGCAGCTTCGCGAAGGATCACCCAACAGCCATCTCCCCAGCGACGAGCGTAGCTATGGGGACCATGACGATGAAGACGAACACGGAGATAGTAATGCGCATTCGGGCTCTGACTCAGAGTCGGATTCTGGATCAAGCTCGGGGCCTGAGGGACGTTCGCCTTCCGCATCATAGTCACTTGTTCGTTCTCGCGAGTCTCTGAGCATTATCAGAACGGTTACCCACCGTCCCCCGCCACCTCGATCTACTCCCGAAGCATTAACGGCTATTCGCGGCACCCGGCGTAGACGGCTCTTCGACGATGAAACCGTCTCCACAACCGGGGATGGTATTAGACTTGGGCCTCTCAAACATGGGGCCTTTGGCTGTTGGGGAGCGGACAGTCATACACGTTATGAGGAGAATTACTGAAGGAGATGTCATGTGGAACAGACGGGGTCTGGGATGCGTTGAAAGAGACGCTAGCGGATTTTGGGGAGATGGTAAGTCTTTGGAATTGTCTTGAGTTTGTCTGAGCCCTGATGATGCCTACGTTGATTTTCTTAAGGGGACGTCCAAATCTGTGCCTTACTTGCTATTGTAGCATCTAAAGAACTCGGGACTGGACCGATACGTCGAGCAATATTTGTTGAAGCATATGTTGGTGAGCTACTAGAGCCTACGATAATGTATCAAAATCCCTAGTAATTCCTTGCGCTATAAATGCTTTCCAGGCTTCAGCTTCGCGCACTTCCTGCTCATGTGCGGAAATATGCCCCGTACGAGCTGGTTCGACATACAACCGAGGTAAGAATCCATATATATCCGTCCACTGCATCCTTACATCTACTTAACGCTCGATTCAAGACACAAACTACCGTGTTCTCCGCATGCAGTCTGTGTAATGCTGCAAGCAGAACCCGAACTCCCGGGACAGCTCCCATTTGTTCTGTGCAGGTTCTTGCTATCTGACATGACGTCAATTAGAGTCGAGTAAAACTAAACTTTATGTTCTGCCAGGAGTGATCTCTACTACTAGCGGCTCATTGGCATTGGACGAGTCCATGTCATCTATTATGTATCATATTTGACTGTAGCAACCTCTTGCCCCTGATGTAGGCATTAGATACACAATTCGTGATACACTTCATACAGACCAAAGCTTGTGCACACCGAAGAGCTTTCCAGTACAAACGAGTACTCTAAGCGTCACAATTGTGAGATCCCTTGGCCGTGCATCTTCGGGTCTCATTCAAAGTTCGAGACCATGGCGTGAACAAGAGGGAACTAACGGAGGAATATATCTTAATACATTAAAAGGTACAACCCAAATCCCCGAAAATGAATGGAGATACTCTGTAATTCGTTATCGACCTTCAGCCGACCCACGTGAAATCCGCTCATCGCAGCCCAACACTAATGCGCATAGCCTTCCGTACAGGTGTGTCCAAGAACTCATTCGAACCCGCAGCATTGCACGCTCTTCCTCCTTTATCACGAGACCGAGTCAGACCGTGTGTCATCATCCGCACTCGCGTCTTCACGCAGTGTATCTCCGTCAGAAACACTATAGTACGTTGTCCTATCTGTTTAACAGGGATCTATCTTGGATGAGCTGCTGGTGCCATTTGTGGAAATAGCTGTTGTAGGAATTTCAGCGAGAGGATATGGGAGATAAAACAGCTGCACGTATGGGTCCAATCCCCCAGTTCGTTAGGTGCCACAATGGCAAGTAAGGCAAACATTTAGACATCCCTTTAAGACAATCAACGTAAGCATGACAAAAACTCGCACAAATTCAAGACACATCCAAAGACTCACCATCTCCGCAAAATCCGCTGCCTACTCTTTCAACACATCCCACACCAGGTCTATCCACATGACGTCTTGTTCAGTAACTCTTCTCCTAACGTTTATGACCTTCAGCTCCCCAACAGCCACAGGCCCCATGTTTGAGAGCCCAAGCCTGAAACCATCCCGGGTGTTGGAGACGGGTTCCTCGTCGAAGAGCCCGAATGGGCATTACTATGTCCATCTTCGTCTTCGTCGTCGTGTTCCCCATTGCAACGCTCGTCGCTCGCGAGATGGGTATCGGGTGGTCCTTCACAAAAATTCACGATGCGCTTCGACACCGGACTGAGGCTTGGTTGGCCCTTGCGGATTTCCGGGCTGACATGAGAACGGGAGCGACTGGTTGGGGCTGGGGATACCCCGCGTGCACGCGGAGCGAAGCGAGGGTGAGAAACTGGATGATGCGTACAGGTTTTTAAAGACTGGTGTAGAGCGGGGATCGGTGATGAAGGATGATGTGCGGCTTGTAGGAAGTGAGGACTCCATTAATGACGATGATATTCCACGTGTTTCTTCGAATTGGATACGTCCCCGTCCGTCACCTACCAAACTGGCCTTTCCTCCACTCTCACTACCATAGACGTTATGTTCGTCTCGCTATCGCTTCCACTCTCGCTATCCGAGTCATGCAGCTGGCCGCCGGTAGTGTAGGCAGAGCCACGGACATCCGCTTGAAGTCGGGTCTCGCAGCGGCCGATCGAGTGT